GTGGGTGAGGAGTTACTTCTTGTGGACAAGCAGAGAAAGTGGTTTCTTAAAATGGATTCTACTCCTTGTGAAGATGTTGTAAACATTATTGAAATTGAATATTATTGTAAATACTGTTGAATTGAATGTTACCTAAATTTAGTTGATAAAACTGACAGAGTTTGAGAGTATTGACTCCAATTTTGACAGTTCTGTGAGTAAGATGGTATGAAACAGCATCACATGCTACAGAGAAATTTTTCATGAAAGGAAGAATCAATCCACGTGGCAAACTTCATTGCTGTCTTATGTTAAGAAATTGCCACAGCCACCTCAACTTTAGCAACCACCACTCTGATCAGTCAGCATCAACATCAAGGCAAGACCCTCTACCAACAAAAAGATTGCAAGTTACTGAAGGATTAGATGATCATTGGCATTTTTTAGCATTGAAGCATTTTCAGTTAAGGTACATGTATGTACATTAGCACACTATTATAGACTACAGTATAGTGTGGACTTAGATTAACGAGAAAACTAAAAAATTCATCTGACTTGCTTTATTTTATTTTACTTTATCTTTGAGACAGAGCCTCAAGCTGTCACCCTGGGTAGAGTGCTATGACATCACAGCTCACAGCAACCTCCAACTCCAGGGCTTAAGCGATTCTCTTGCCTCAGCCTCCCAAGTAGCTGGGACTACAGGCACCTGCCACAACACCCAGCTATTTTTTGTTTGTAGTTGTCATTGTTGTTTGGCAGGCCGGGGCTGGGTTCGAACCCGCCACCTCAGGTATATGTGGCTGGCACCTTGGCCTCCTGAGCTACAGGCACCAAGCCGTGACTTGCTTTATTGTGCTATTCCAGTGCTCTGCAATAAAGATGTGGGAACCAAATCCACATCTCTAAAGCCTGCACTCTTAACCTTCACCACTAATAAAGTGGAAAGTATAGTGGTTTATGAAGCCACTGAGCAAACCAGTGCTTGCTTTTAAGGAAGGTATAGGATTAGGGTGTTTAGCTTTTTTTTATGGTCTTTACATAAAGCCGCCTTTTTAATTGTGAGAAAGCTTGCTCCTGATGGCTTTAAATGTTAACTCACTGGGGCAAATCTTGTATAAACCAACATTATTTCTGAGTTATACTGACCTAATTTAATTTCTGTTTACTAGTAGCATTTGAAGTAATTTACATTAGAGAAATATGCTTTGTAGCATCTTTAGTCTTTCTAGAAAAGCTTTTTTTTTTTTTTTTTTTTTAAGATAGGCTCTCATTTTGTCACCCAGGCTGGAGTACAGTAGTGTCAGCTGACTGCAACCTCAAAACTCCTGGCCTCAAATGACACTCCCATCTCAGCCTCCCGAAGTGTTAGGATTATAGGTGTGAGCCACTGTGAATGGCCTAGAAAAGCTATTTTATTGAACACCACCTTAATTAGTGGGTACTATGAATGATTGTGAAGTCCAAATGTTTAATTTCTTCCTTGTCTCAAGACTGAATTCTATTCAGCCTTTGTAGCTCAAAGACCTCAGTTTTACATTAAGCATTTGATTCTTCTAAACACTACAAATACCTAATTTGCTAGACTTTTTTCATTCTTGATTATAAACTAATTATTTCTTTTCTAAATTCATCCTTTTCATGCAATAATTTGTTAAATAAAACAAATGAACACACTCATAATAGTCCATCTTCCCACCCAAGCTCCTAGCTTTTGTGGTACATTATCTACCTTCTGAGATAATTCACTGGTAATTTCACCACTGCATAATATAAATTGCTAATCTTATAGCTCCTAGTAACTTTTCTTGCCCCCTTCCACCTTGTTTCTAAGCCTTGCCGTCTGTTTTAGATTTTTTGATAAGGCAGCACCTCACTCTGGGTTCTACCTGTACCAACTTGGATAAGCCAGATTATGCAGTCATAAGCAATGTCATATCTCAGTGACTTTAAAAACATGCTGTGCAGGAGGTGCTGGCCCCATATACTGAGGGTGACAAGTTCGAACCCGGCCCCAGCCAAACTGCAACAAAAAATAGCTGGGCGTTGTGGCGGGTGCCTATAGTCCCAGCTACTCAGGAGGCTGAGGCAAGAGAATCGCCTAAGCCCAAGAGCTGGAGGTTGCTGTGAGCTGTGACATCACGGCACTCTACCCCTCTACCAGGATGACAGCTTGAGGCTCTGTCTCAAAAAAAAAATTTTTTTTTTTTTAAATATAATTTCAAGACTCAGCGCCTGGAGAACAGTGGCTACGATGCCAGCCACATGCACTGAGGCTGGCAGGCTCAAACCTGGCCCAGGCCTGCTAAACAACAATTGACAACTTCAACAAAAATATAGCCAGCTGTTGTGGCAGGCACCTGTAGTCCCAACTACTTGGGAGGCTGAGGCAGGAGAATCACTTAAGCCCAAGAGTTTGAGGTTGCTGTGAGCTGTGACGCCATACAACTCTACCAAGGGGTGACATAGTGAGACTCTGTCTCACACACACACACACACACACACACACTTAAAAAAATATATATATATATATAATTTCAAAAAAAGGAAAAAGTAAATCTATAAGTACAAAGAAAATGGGAGAGAAAATGAAAGAAGATAATAGCAAAGGGCTGATAATCATAGTTGTGAACTATACATAGTCATCATAATATAAGCAATAAATATTGATTATTAAAAAGTTGTGATATAGCTATATTGGAAGGATAAGGAGAGAAAGTTGGGAACAATAAGGTAAGAAAACTACGTAGGTGATGAGATATTATCTGAAGTTGGGAAAAAAGTCAAGAAATAGAAATAAAATCATATTGTATAGAAATAACAGAAATAGGGCAGCGCCTGTGGCTCAGTGAGTAGTATGCCAGCCCCATATGCCAAGGGTAGCAGCTTCGAGCCCAACCCCGGCCAAACTGCAACAAAAAAATAGCCAGGTGTAGCAGGCGCCTGTAGTCCCAGCTACTTGGGAGGCTGAGGCAGGAGAATCACCTAAGCCCGGGAGTTGGAGGTTGCTATGAGCTGTGACGCCATGGCACTCTTCCGAGGGTGATAAATTAAGACTCTATCTCTAAAAGAAAAAAAAAAAGAACAGGGCGGCGCCTATGGCTCAAAGGAGTGTAGGGCGCTAGCCCAATATACCAGAGGTGGAGGGTTCAAACCCAGCCTTGGCCAAAAACTGCAAAAAAACAAAAAAACAAAAAAAAAAAACAAAACAAGAAAGAATTAACAGAAATAAACACAGGGGTTGGAGGGGACAGCTAAAATAGCATTATTGCCCTAGGGGAGAATGAGACTCACAGTTTAGAGTATATTTGACTTATAGGACTATGGATAGATGGATATCTTTTTTTTAATGCTTACTTTGATTAAGATAATGAGTTTAAAAAACAACCCCAAAGTTTTGTGGTGGGTATTGAAATAATGAACAATAAAAGCTTTTATAGTGCCTATGCACATAGCAGGCATTTAATAGATACTAGTTTCCTTTTGTCAGCTAGACAAGGTATGTGCTTGCAGTAATATTCATATGACTCAGAGGTTAGGTGGTTGGCTAAACAGCAATGTGCGGTATGTCACAGAGCAAATTATGTACCTTTCTAACCTATTTTTTTAAAGGATGGTTTTATTTTTCTTGGAACCTTAACAACCTGATGGTTACTGTTTCTTAGAATTTAGACTTCTGTGTAACCAGCACTTGAAAAGTGACCTAGTTATTGAGTAGTTCTAGTAAGCTGTCCTGGAACAACTTTAAAAATACTTAGCAACTTTCAAATTACTTTAATGAACCTGAAAACAATTGCATCTACACCTAGATTATACATTATTTAAAGTCAGGACATTTTCTTTCTCTTCTATAGTTATTTCTTACTTTGGGTAGGGGGTGGTTTGTTTGTTTGCTTCAGACAGAGTCTCACTCTGCTGTTTACTGCCCAGGCTAGGTTGCCATGGTGTTAGCCTAGCTTGCAACATCATCAAACTCCTGGGTTCAAGTGATCCTCCTGCTTCAGCCTCCCAAGTAGCTGGGACTACAGCTCATACCACAATACCTGGCTAATTTCTTTTTTCTGTTTTTAGTAGAGGCCAGGTCTTGCTCTTGCTCAGGCTGCTCTCAAACTCCTGAGCTCAAGGGATCTGTCCACCTGGCCTCCAAGAGTGCTAGGATTATAGGCATGAGCCACCTCATCTGGTCTCTCTTCTATAGTTATTTCAATTAAGTGTTTTATTTCCATGGTCTACTGTACCTATCCCACTACCACCTTTGTTCTGTGAGCGCTTACTGCAGTGCATGTACTGATCGATGTTGAAAGCAAACCAGTAGTATAATGCTCTTGTGTGTTTCATGTATAACACATATTGTATAACTAGCCTGAAAAGGCCTTGTGGACAAAAACCGTATATTTTGCCATATGAATATGCCCCATGGTATCTAGGAAAATGAGTGCTATGCAATAGTAGGTATTTATTCATTAGGTATATATTCTGTTCTTGGCATTACACTAAGCTCTAAGCCTATCTTGGTGAACTGGACAGATGTAGCTCTTGCTGTTAAAATTTACCTTTTAGGCTCAGCGCCCATAGCTCAGTGAGTTAGGGCGCCAGCCACACACACCAAGGCTGGCAAGTTCAAGCCCAGCCCAGGCCTGCTATAAACAACAATGACAACTGTGACCAAAAAAAAAGCCGGATGTTGTGGCAGGCGCCTGTAGTCCCAACTACTAGGGAGGCTGAGGCAGGTGAATTGCTTAAGCCCAAGAGTTTGAGGTTGCTGTGAGCTGTGATGTCACAGCACTCTACCAAGGGCAACATAGTGAAACTCTTATCTCAAAAAAGAATTTACATTTTAGTAGAATGTTTGTGAATTCTTGTAATCCAGAAAAATAGAGGCCTGTGCTAAACTGTCAAGCAGTAAAAAGCTTTGTATATATAAAGAGTTTAATAATTTTAAGCTATGTTTGTTGTGACTTAAATGGATGCTATATAAAGGAAATGGTGACATCTGATTTTTTTTCCGCTTTGCTTTGTAGATAAGATGCTCCAAGTCCCTTGCAGCTCTCTTCAGAAGAAAAATCACTAGTGCTCTGCTCTTGCCATAATACCAAACCTTTTTGACTTATACTTTGGTGCTGCAACACTGGAAGAATTACACACAGATTCCAGGAATAACTTTTTTTTTCATTTGAGTGCTTTGTGGATGGAAAACAATTTGAGTCTTAATAATTACTTTGATTTTAAAGCTATTTCTCTATAGTCTGAACTCTTTTAAAGTGGGCCACTTAACCAATGAGCCACACAGCCAGTTCTTGTCAGGAGCTGGTTGAAAACTGTGCTGTGCATGTAGCAGGGATGGCACAGGAAGATAGCCGTCGTGGTCAAGTGCCATCTACGTTTTATCATGGTGCCAACCAAGAACTTGACCTGTCCACCAAAGTGTACAAAAGGGAATCAGGAAGTCCTTATTCTGTGTTAGTGGACACCAAGATGAGTAAACCGCACCTCCATGAAACAGAGGAACAGCCATATTTCAGGGAGACAAGAGCAGTGTCTGACGTGCATGCTGTTAAAGAAGACCGGGAGAATTCTGATGACATGGAAGAGGAGGAAGAAGAGGAAGAAGTCTCTTACAAAAGGGAGCAGATCATAGTAGAGGTAAACCTTAATAATCAAACATTAAATGTATCTAAAGGGGAAAAGGGTGTCTCTTCACAGTCCAAAGAGACTCCTGTTCTTAAGACAAGCAGTGAGGAGGAAGAGGAAGAAAGTGAGGAAGAGGCCACAGATGACAGCAATAACTATGGAGAGAATGCAAAGCAGAAGAAAAAGGAGAAGATAGTGGAGAAAGTCAGCGTTACACAAAGGAGAACAAGGAGAGCTGCCTCTGTTGCTGCAGCTACCACTTCCCCTACTCCCAGAACTACAAGAGGTCGTAGGAAGAGTGTAGAGCCACCTAAGCGTAAGAAGCGGGCTGCAAAGGAGCCCAAAGCACCAGTCCAGAAAGCTAAGTGTGAAGAGAAAGAGACTCTGACCTGTGAGAAGTGCCCCAGGGTATTTAACACTCGCTGGTACCTGGAGAAGCACATGAACGTTACTCATAGGCGCATGCAGATTTGTGATAAGTGTGGCAAGAAGTTTGTCCTGGAAAGTGAGCTGTCCCTTCACCAGCAAACAGACTGTGAAAAAAACATTCAGGTAGGTTTCATCACCAAGAGGGCAAACTTTTCAGGATAGAACCTGGCTGTTCAGATTCATCTTGTATCTGCCCAAGAGAATAAATACGATAGAGGCTGAAAGGACAGAGTTCACCAATTTATCATTTGAAAAGCTCCTGCTTTGGTCTTTTCAAAACTGAGGCTTAACATTCTATTTCAAAGGCATTAAATTTAACTGACGCTGGACTAGTGGGAACCCAGGTACACTGGAAGGGGGATCTGTTATAGATGATTGACCAGAATGTAAAATCGACACCAACTTTGCCCTGAGATTCACTGTTGTAGAACATGTAATTTAATTCATTCTGGCATCTTCTCTGTCAAGGCGGGAGATACTGAGTAAAGGTCAGGAGTAGAGAAAGGTCCCTTTCTAGCCTTAAAAAAAGGATGCCAGATTCTAGTGCAGCTGATGGGGACAAAAACCATAATGACTCAGACCGGTGGAAATGGAAGATCTCCAGGAGTGAGTTTGCTTTTACCAGTGGAGAGATGACAACACTAAATTTGTCAAGAGGCTGAGCCCATGGGAATATGCAAACTTTAAACAGAGCCTGAGCTGGTTAAAAATGTTGCCCACCTGGCCAGTAGGGGTACATAATGCTACTACAATATTGTTAAGGTAACAAAATACGGTATTCAAACCAAGCTGGTGTCTTGAAAGGACTATATTGCAGTAGGTTAAGAGATGTGCTAATTATATTATGTTGAGTGGATTGCAGCTATATCAGTTTGCCCATGCATATTAAATATTCATAAAAGGTAAGTCTATTAATGTCTACATAAGATTTGTAAAATAGTAATATCTTGTACCATATTTAAGTCAAACTATTTAAAAAAGATAAATTGTTTTGGTTTGTATATTGGAGTACTGCTAATATTGGTAGTCACTTGGAAGTTTCACTTTTCTCCTGCTCTTTTAATCAACAACTGGGATCATTGCTTTACTTTAAAGAATGGTTTGAAAAATAGAAATTACATTTGCTAAAAATTCACTGCTTTTGATTCATCAATTGTGACTTGATCTCCGACACGCTGAGTAAATGAAAGAAGACTGAGTCATGGCGCCCATATCCTCCAATAACTGCTAACACCCTGGCATGATTATGAATTGGTTGCAACACTTCAGGCCAAAAAAGGAGTGATGCAGTGCTGCACCCTAGAGGTCAAACTGGACTCTGTAATGATTCATTATTGAAAAGGTGTTCTTAATCTTTATATATATATATTTTTTTTTTCAACTTAAATTTGCTTTATTAAGTTACAAAAAACATTTGATAAATCCTTTTTTGGTGATTTTCTTTGCTGTTCCTCATCATAATATTTTTAAACTTGTGTTTAAGTTTTGTGGATTCTGCTAAATGAACGAACTCTCTTCCCAAAGAACAGTGCACTTTATAATGTATAGATCCTAATAATCTTGATGACTTGGTAGCATGTAAAAATTAAAACCCTGCTCTTACAGAACTAGTCTATCTTTTTCTAACACAAAATCTGGTCATAGGCTTATGTTTTATCTCAGAGTTGTTATTTCCTAGAGTGGCATTGGTACTCAGAGATCTTTATTTATAGTGAATACTAGCTAGTTCTCTTAAGTATCCCAGAGTCTGATAATTAACCATAAACTTTCTAGTATTGTTTTGCTTTAACAAGAAGTATTTTATTTTGATATACTTTGTCTGATATTCTAGGTTATTAATGATTGATAATGTAAAGGACTAATGAACATGGCATTTTTTTTCCCTATAGATTTATGTAAAGAGAGCTCTAGATCTGGGCTAAAGGGCAAAAGGGGAATGATACTAATAGTTTAGAGATTGTTAAATTCTGCCAGAGGGAAATATTTAATAGACTAAATTACATTTGGGAAAATATGACAAAATTCAATTTTTTTTTTTTTAGAGACAGAGTCTCACTTTGTCACCCTCAGTAGAGTGCTGTGGCATCACAGCTCACAGCAACCTCCGGCTCTTGGGCTAAGCCGATTCTCTTGCCGCAGTTTGGCTAGGGCCGGGTTAAAACCCGCCACCCTCAGTATATGGGGCCAGTGTCCTACTCACTGAGCCACAGGCGCTGCCCTACAAAACTCAATTTTTTATTAATGAAGGCCCTAAATGCTTTTTATAAGGTATAAAAACAGTTTTATACTCCTACAGATCTATAATCATTAATATACTGTTTTATTTTTATTTATGCTAATTTATTTTAATTTTTTATTTTTTTGAGATAGAATCTCACTTTGTCAACCTTGGTAGAGTGATATGGTGTCATAGCTCACAGAGCAACCTCAAATTCTTGGGCTCAAGTGATTCTCTTGCCTCAGCCTCCTGAGTAGCTGGGATTACAGGCACCCACCATAACGCCCAGCTATTTTTAGAGATGGGGTCTCGCTGTTGCTCAGGCTGGTCTCAAACTTGTGAGCTCAGGCAATCCACCCGCCTCGGCCTCCCAGAGTGCTGGGATTACAGGCGTGAGCCACCACGCCTGGCCCTATTTATGCTAATTTAAATTAGCTTGTGTTCTCTAGTAAAAACCTATTAACTGCATGGTTACTCTTGTGTAGGAGGCAGCTGTTCTTGCTAATTCATACAGTAAAAAAACTTGAAAGTTCGGGCTGTGCCTGTGGCTCAAAGGAGAAGGGCTCCCGCCTCATATGACAGAGGTGGTGGGTTCTAAACCCAGCCTCGGCAAAAAACAGCAAAAAAAAAAAAAAAACAACTTGAAAGTTCTTTTCATAACACTAGATAATAGTAGTCAATTTTTTTTTTTTTGAGACACAGTCTCATTATGTCACCCTCATTGGAGTGCTGTGTTGTCACAGCTCACAACAACCTCTAAGTATTGGGCTTAAGCGATACTTTTGCCTCAGCCTTCCAAGTACCATGTTTTCCCAAAAATGAGACCTACCCAAAAAATAAGCCCTAGCAGGATTTCTGTGCATTTGTTAAATATAAGCCCTACCCTGATAATAAGACCTAGTGATGGGCTGGGCGCCTGTGGCTCAAGCGGCTAAGGCGCCAGCTACATACACCTAAGGTGGCAGGTTCGAATCCCCAGCCCGGGCCCGCCAAGCAGCAATGATGGCTGCAACCAAAAAATGGCCAGGCCTTGTGGCGGGCACCTGTAGTCCCAGCTACTTGGGAGGCAGAGGCAGGAGACTCGCTTGAGCCCAGGAGTTGGAGGTTGCTGTCAGCGTGATGCCATGGCACTCTACCCAGGGGGATAGCTTGAGGCTCCATCTCAAAAAAAAAAAAAAAAAAAGACCTAGTGATGGGCGTTGCAGCCCAGATACGCTGCATAGCCACGCCATGCATTTCAGTGTGGAGCGTTAAGGAAGACTGGAATACCTTTTATCTGCCACAGCTCCTTTCTCCAAGCTGTTCGCACTTGTGCGGGTGCACATGTGGTAACTGTGGTCGCAGGCATCCTGTTGCACACGTGCAAACGGCTAGGGGAAAGGAGTTCACGCATCACTAGTGCCAGCCCCACCAACAAGGTCGGCTCCCCCTGTCAAGTTCCAGAAGAAGATGACTTCACTGTATTTGAATAAATGTAGATTATTGTATTATACTTAATAAAAATAAGACAGCCCCTGAAAATAAGTCCTAGTGTGTCTTCTTGAGAAAAAATAAATATAAGACAATGTCTTATTTTCGGGGAAACACGGTAGTTGGGACTATAGGTGCCTGCCACAATGCCTGGCTATTTTTTTGTTGCTGTTGTCATTGTTATTTAGCAGGCCTGGGTGGGATTTGAACCCTTTAGCCCGGGGTATGTGGCCAGCGCCCTAACCACTGAGCTATGGGCACCGAGCCAACAGTCAATTTTGTTATATTAGTTGAACTTTCCACTTTTTATCTTAGTTTTTGCCATTGTTTTCATACTCCCAAAGCATGTCTAAAAGATGCATCTTGGAAAATAGAACATATAGATGTTGGTGTTAGAATCTGGACTCTGTGGAAGAATAGCATTTATCTGGATTCTGGCCTTGGGCCATGAACTGAAAGCACATCCATTTCATCTGCCTATAGGCTGCTATGGCTTTCTGAAAGCCCCTGTAAATAAAGATTTTTTTCTATTTATCCTGTTCAGTGTGTTTCCTGTAACAAATCATTCAAGAAACTCTGGTCCCTTCATGAACATATCAAGATTGTCCATGGATATGCAGAAAAGAAATTTTCCTGTGAAATTTGTGAGAAGAAATTCTATACCATGGCTCACGTGCGGAAACACATGGTTGGTAAGTTTTTTCTCCTTTTCTCTCACACTTGTATTTTACTTTTGTCCTTTGGTGTGTTTTTTACCCTGGATTGGGCAGGATATGAAAAATTATCTAACTTTAATCAGTTTTGACATGTTGAAACTAAATACAACGTGTCCTTTATAAGCGTCACCAAATTGGATGGTGTACTCTTCCACACCCAGATTTCTTTTCAACATGGTTATTTTTCTCTTTAGAACAGTACTATTAAAGACTCACAGATCAGAGTGTAGAAAACTAAGATGGCATAATTGCTTTACAGCAGGACATTGTCTTTTCCAGTTTTAAATTCCTGGTGGATTTGTTTTGAGTATAAGTGTATTCTATATTGCAGCACACACGAAAGACATGCCATTTACATGTGAAACCTGTGGAAAATCATTCAAACGCAGTATGTCACTCAAGGTGCACTCATTGCAGCATTCTGGAGAGAAGCCCTTCAGATGTGAGGTAAGAACGTGCTACCCACAGGCCTAGACCTCGGGGTGAAGGTGGCAGTGAGGGAGAGGTGTGCTGAGCACAAGGCGCTGTCCATGGGGCCTTCAGACACACACTCTCAGCTTTGTGTGTTCTCTCGCTGCCAGGTAGAAAAATGCCATTTTTTTTCTTTTGTTTCTTTTTTTTTTAAGAGATAGAGTTACTTTATTGCCCTCGGTAGAGTGCTGTGGTGTCAAAGCTCCCAGCAACCTCTAGCTCCTGGGTTTAGGCTTTTCTCTTGCCTCAGCCTCCCGAGTAACTGGGACTACAGGCACCCGCCACAATGCCCAGCTATTTGCTGCAGTTTGGCTGGGGCCAGGTTCAAACCTACCACCCTTGGTATATGGAGCCAGTGCCCTACCCACTGAGCCACAGGTGCTGCCCCAGAAATGCCGGGTTTTTTTTGTTTGTTTTTTTTTTGAGACAGAGCCTCAAGCTATCCCCCTGGGTAGAGTGCC